TGCAGTGATTTGAATATAAAACGAGCTGATATTTGAAGGCTAATAAATATTCAAACTTTAAAGCTAAATATGAAGACATAAGTCTTAGTTTGAAAAAAAATATGCAATATTTTATTCAGATGCTTTGGGATTTAAGAAAGAAGTGTTATTTATTGTTTATTGATTTATTGCTTGTTGCCCAGCTATGCGTGGGCTGTCTGCAAATATGCAGGTCTGGAGATACCAAAGCAATGCCTGACTACCTGATCATATTACTTGATTCTTACAAGGAGCATGGGCTGCTAAAGACCAATTCTAACACTTATCTTCAGGGGTCACATTTGGCTTTGTGACAGATAATCAAATGATCGATGTTGTGACTTCCTGATCAATTCGGTTGCCCCTTATAAAAATCAAAGCAGGCTAGGTATGGATTCTATACTGAAGGAAGATAGCTTTGTGGGTAAAGTGTTCGCTCATCATGCCGAAGACCCGAGTTCGATTCCCTACATGGATACACTATGTATACATTTATGTTGTTCACCGCCGTGGATGTTAAGTGTCAATGCTGAAACTGGCATAACTCACTCACTCCAGACCTCAATCCCCACATCCGAAATAAGTGATGACGGCAAAATGATGAAGCTTTGAGTGTCCTGAAAATGGAAATAAGATACGATAACCAAACTTTCCTACCCAAAATGCAACTCGTGGTTGATATGATGCTGGAAAGGGGTGAACTTTTACAAAGCTGTTGCGTTGCATCTGATATCAAACATGTAATGTCCAAGAAATTCATCATCGATGCCAAAGAGCACGAAGACCAAGAACTGTAATGACCATGAGACAGTATCTCATTGACCAAGCACATTTTCGAATTGTAGGAAATAAAGCTAGAAAAGACATCATATCCAAATCTGACCGACTGTGTGGCAAGTTCGAAAACCGTACTTCCTCGATGTAGCAGCAAGTACGGGTAAACAGATGAGGTGGCAAGTTGACCTGGGCTTAAAACCATAATGCGATCTTCTGATGACACTAACGTCTCTACCCGGAACATTCACACCTGGACCTGTTGGTGATAGATAATTCCTGACACATGTAAACATGGCACATTTACTGATGTGGTCATTTTGACATTCTACTGGCCATTTGTATGTTGATGAAACGTCTTGTCATTGTTTCTATTCAAACAAATTATCGAAGAAATCTTGAACTTCAAGTTGACAATGGCAGACAATCTTGGCCAAACGTTGTCATCCATAAATTCAAGTTTTGTAGCAAGACAATGACCATCAAAATGGAGCACAGCAACTGGACCAGACACTTTCTGTATGTACTGATCTGCCTTCAAATTCCTACGTACTGTCACCAAGTGACGTTTACAGACATCGCGGAGCCTCGACCAAAACCAGCCTTTAGCTTCAAAGGGTGTATTTTCCTGTCTCCAACCTCACAAGCGTCCATCAATTACACGAAGAAGGTATTGGCTTGCAGAGGACCAGAGTATTCTTCGCCATGGCCTCATTTTTTCCACCAATTCCTTACAAGGACATGCCGGAGTTTGGCATACCGATAAAGTGCCATCTGCTTATGATCATATATGTGAGTGAGTTAATATTAAACGTCACATCGGCAGTATGTCAGCCATATAGTGACGAGAACAATTAATGAATAGATCATATATCAATAAAATTCGAAATTTAAACCTGTTGACGAAGAACAGTAAAACTACTATTTACTTAGTAAGAAAACTACTACACAGATATCCATTTAAAACTAGTAATTAAATCTAAAACTTGTTAATTAAAAATGACAAGACAATGTAAAAACAGGCTATAGATTGAAAACGACTGAAGGTAGATCACCATACTAGGTACCATGTGGACGTACAGTACATTTGCGTCTTTCATGGACCCTAGCTGGATTTACACCATCCTTCCAGCCGTTAACAGTTTAGACACATTACACATATTCTACGTTTAAAAAGGTTGGATAGATTCAAATTGACTTTGAATGTTTTGGGACTTACGTACCCTCTCAGGGGGACAATAAGTTTACACTACTTCAAATCTCTTTGAGGGTACAGCCACTAACAATCTCAGTTACTAATCTAAACTACCAATAATAAAATATTTATCTTTTTACAAATCAGTTAACAACTCTAGTTCTTTTAAAAATGTAATAATTAAAAGAGAACTTATATTATTAAAACGATCCTTCATAGTTCGTGATTTGAAATAGTTATCCCTTGTGATGGAATATTCAACACAGTCAAGCAGAACGCAAAACGGAGGATCCTCACATTTCAATAGGTATTCGTGAGTATATCTTGTGTGGCCAATACGACATCGTCGTATGATGACCTCTTCAAATCTGGACTGACAACCCAAGTAGGTGTAACCAATGTAGGGTTTTATTGCATGTAATTTATTAATACCTACTTGGGTGTCCCACTTCTTCTGCATCACATTACGAATATAAGATCTAATGCTAGCTTTGAAATCAGAGTATGGAATAAAACGTGGTGTCACAGATTTGTTGAGTGCTGCCTTGAAAGCAAGATCGGCCATTGTGTTCCCAGAAATGCCAACGTGGCTGGGTAACCAACAGAAGACGATGTCGCATTGACCAGTAGCAATATCGTTATATAATTCTATAATTTCTATTAAAAGTGGCTGTTTACACGACAGGTTTTTAATAGCCTGAAGGCACGAAAGAGAGTCAGAAAAGATGATACATTGTTTATATTTAGGGTGTTTGATCATATATGTATTATATATATAAACATGTGTGTATGTATATGTTTATACGTATGTGTACACGCGCACGCACACACACACACACACACATAAAGAAGAAGTTTACACGCGCACGCACACACACACACACACACACACACATAAAGAAGAAGTTTACATCCATATTATGTTGTCTTGAGCTTGAATACCAACTATATGCCTCTCAGGAACCTTAAAACCAATTATTCGTTACATCTACTAGGTCTGTCAGTCCAGAGTAGAAGAGGTCATTTGAGACGATGCAATACTTGCCACTGCAGATGTACTCATGAACACGTATAAAAAGGTGAGGATTCATAAGCATGACTTCCTTAGCTGTCTTGAGCATTTTTCCTTTACAAGAGATAAATAGTTCAATATCACAACTGTAAAGGGCTGTTTTTGTAAAATTCTTTCTCTGAAAGGATGGTGTGAATCCAGCAAGGTCCATGCAAATATCTAACGAACTGTCAGTCCCCATGCAAACATCTAACGAACTGTCAGTCCCCACTGTTACAAGCATGGTGATCTACCTTTGTTGCTGTTGATCTGCAGCCCGTTTTATATTGTGTTGTCCTGAATAGGGCTATAATTTTATAGCTTCATGCTTGTTTTACATATATATCTGTTGTAATCTAGTTGTTTTACTGTTCTTTGTCGACAGATTTTATGATATAACTTCTATTATTCCCCATATATGACTTATTCACGAGGTCACGATATGATTGAAATAGTGCCGATGTGACTGTAAATATTAACTCACACATTTCATGGTTTTCATTTGAGCATTCAAATCGTCACGAAAGAGAATCGGAAAAGATTATGTATTGATTTTGGTTAGTGTGTCTTTGAATATATTTAAGAGCCGTTAATATGGCGTTCGCTTCTGCTGTTAAAAGAGAGCTGTAATCCGGTATTCTAGAAGATATTGTTCTGGATCCAATGACAGTGGCACATGCCACCGCGCCACCATCATTGAAACCATCTGTAATTAAACATTTGTATGTATCATATGTACTTTTTAATTGATTATATTCTTGTTTATATTGTAATTCATTTCAGTTTCTGATGTCTTATACTTTGTCAGTGTTAGGTCAACCTGTGGCCTCACTAATTGCCAAGGAGGAGAAAAAAGAAGACGGGGAAGCTCTATATTTTCCAGCTCTATGCCGGCAGCAAAAATGAATGGTTTAATTCTTAAACCAAGAGGCGGAACAAGAGAAGACGTTTTCTTGTACAAATCCTCATACAGAGGGTTACAGACACAGTTAAATACCGGGTTAGACTCATTAGAATAAAACTTTGTTATACACTGCAAGGATAATTTCCGTACTGCGTTGTGTAAGAGATGGCTCATCGGCCTCAACACGGAGACTGTCAACAGGAGACGTTCTAAAAACCCAAGACCAAGTCTTAGAGGAATTCAACTTAGAAACAGAATCTTATGGTATGAAGAAGGAGAAACACCACAACAAAATACTTCTGCCATTTAGAAAATAGAAATTATGTCAGCAAAGCAATAAATAGAGTTATTACAGATAAGAACGAGGAAATTACTGACAGTAAATCAATATAAAATGAACTGAAAGAATGTTATAAAAAACTTTATTCTTCAGACAAGAATTATAAAAATGATGACCACTTAGACAATGTAATAATTCCAATCTTGAGTGACCAATTTAGAGACAATTTGGAAAAAGAAATAGATATGAATGAAATATCATTTGCAGTAAAAAGTATGAAGAATAACAAAAGCCCTGGAATTGATGGATTTCCTATAGATTTCTTCAAGTACTTTTGGAAAGAACTCAAAATTTGGATTTTTAAATTTATCAATGATGTTTCAAGAAGAAATAAGATGTCTCTTACCATGAAGAGAAGAGTTATCACTTGTATACCTAAAGCTAATAAAGATAGGGCCTTATTAAAGAACTGGAGACCAAGTACTTTATTAAATGCTTTGTATAACATAATTAGTGCATGTATCTCTAACCGGTTAAAAATCACCTTAGACTCTTTAATACATAATAACCAGACTGGATTCATACCGGGTAGAACTCTTAGTGAAAATACAAGGTTATTATATGATCTTATAGATAGATCTTAGAGATATTCCTGGTCTGCTGATTTTAATTGACTTCGAAAAAGCTTTTGACACAGTTTCTAAAGATTTTATCAACTCTGTTTTACTAAAAATTGGTTTTAGGCCACAGAATATACGCTGGATGAATTTATTAACTTATGATACAACATCATGTGTATTTCAGAATGGACATCTCTCTGATTTCTTCCCTAATGAGCGGGGTTGCAGGCAAGGTGACGCAATATCGCCATATTTGTTTCTTTTTGTAGCTGAAATCCTTGGATGTATGATAAGACAAAATGATGATATAAATGGTATTGTAATTGATGTTCAGGAATATAAATTAGGACAATATGCTGATGATACTGAATTATTTTTGGATGGTTCAGATAAAAGTTTGTATGCTGCTATTGATACCATTAATACTTTTTACAATATGTCAGGGTTAACGATAAATATCGATAAGACTAAAGCAATCTGGATAGGCTCAAATGCAGGTAGCAGAGCTATGATTTGTGAAGATTTGAAAATAGAATGGCAAAGAAAGGAATTTGAAGTTTTGGGTATTAAATTCACACCTGATTTGAATGACTTATGGGTAATCAACACAAGAAAAAGACTTGCAGAAATTAATAGATTATTGGCAACATGGAGAAAAAGACATCTCACACTGATTGGCAAAATCACTGTAATTAAAACATTGGCTCTTTCAAAACTGGTTCACATTTTCAATTCTTTACCTAATCCCCCTGATGAATTTATCACTTCCCCTGAGAGACTATTCTTCAGATTCATTTGGAATGACAAAAATGATAAAATTAAACGGAGCACTTTGAAAAAAGATTATACAGAAGGGGGTTTACGCATGATAGATATTAAAACCTTTGTTAATGCCATGAAATTATCCATACTCAGACTCTATTTGAGAAAAACAAATGTGAGTAATCCATGCAATTTTCAATTAAATAATATACTAAAATATGGAGCAAATTTTCAGAATTTTGTTGAAAATGATAATCCTTTTTGGAAAGATGTTTTATAGGCATGGAAATTATACTGTAATAAGAATACCATAGAAGCAGACAACATTAAAGGAATTTTAGCACAATCTTTATGGCTGAATAATAATTTCAAAAACCCAAATCACTTTATCAGGCATTGGGCTAAAAATGGAATTTTAACAATTAAGGACCTTTGTAATGAAAATGGTTTTATGTCTCTTGAAGATCTGAAGCTCAAATTTGATATTAGAGGTACATATATGGATCTTCGATATGCTTTCTATATCATACCTGAATCATGGAAATTGACCATAAAACAATACAGAAATATACATAACAATGATCTGGATGATAACTTTCTTCATAAAGATTTTATGGATTTGAAAAAAGGTTCAAGATTATTTTATGATAAACTCTTATCTGACAATATTAAACCTCATATTTGCCTAAAATGGGAAAACTTATTTTACGATATTGATTTTGATTGGCGTATAATTTTTAATATTTGCAGAAGGAATGTGAAAGATGTAAAACTTTTAGACTTTCAATCTAAAGTTTTGCACAGAATTATTTATACAAAAAAAGAACTTATGAAAATGAAACTGGTTGACAATGCAGTATGTAGCCTTTGTAATGTTGATAGTGAAACTTTATGTCATGGATATTGGGAATGTGTTGTAACCCAAACCTTCTGGAAGGAACTTGAAAACTGGATAATCCAAAATATACAGAAATTTGAAATAACAAAGACCTTGGTTTGGTTTGGAATTTTGGGTAATAAGCCAATACTAAATCATATAATCTTATCTGCTAAAAAATATATATATACTTGCACTTTGAAGAAAATAATTCCAAAAGTTAATAACTTTTAAAATTTTTTGAAAGACATTTATACGGTTGAAAATTTCATATCCAGAAGGAACAATAAATCTGATAAATTTTCAGACAAATGGTTTCCCTTATTCTCAATATTTAATTTCTGACGTTATCTTTAATCAAATGGGAATAATTTTACTGGAGTATATTCTCTCTATGCTATCAGTTGATCTAACATTTTTGTTGAACCCAATGAACTTTGATCATGTATTTATGCATTTATTGCTTTACTTGTCGGCGAAAATATTTTTCGGCTTTCTTCCTACATTTGCTGGCCTGTTTACATTCATTATTAAGCAATGGTTTACGAATATGTTGAATTGCAGAGGACTTAGGAATTGTTTTGTCAGCAATGTCAATTAGTATGTCCGAAAAAGACTGTTTAGGATCTTCACTGTTCCTAAAAAGATCATGCTTTAAGTGGTCAACACACACAGTCTCATATAATGACCAATCAGCCCTGGCGAAGTTGTTTCTTGACAAAAGTTGATCATCACCAGGGTTAAATTGTTTTGAGAATGGTGGGGGCGTGATCACTCCCACATATGTCATCATGGACCATCCAGTCAAATTCATAATACAAGTTGGAGTCGGTGAGTGACAGATCCAGGGAAGAATATGTTCCCGTAGCTGGATGAAGATAAGTGGATGAATCATCATTGAAAATACATAAATTATTATCGGAAATGAATTCCTCTAGCATTTTACCTTTAGTATTAGTACGGACACTACCCCAAAACGGGTTGGGTCCGTTAAGATCGCCCATGATGAGACATGACTTTGGGAGCTGATCATACAGATTTTGCAGATCCGACAGTCGGATATCAGAAGATGGGGGGACATATAAACTGCCCAGAGTCAGTGCAACGTGTAAGGTCAGTCGAACAGCTACAGGCTGAAGACTGCTGTTAAGCGGGATACGGTTATGTAAACTCACACGCAAAAGAAACGCAAGTCTAGAATAAAGTATATACGTACTTATTTTTTAACAGTATAGAATACAAATACCAACAGCGTAAGGTATACAGAAATTTGAGCAAGAACAGTTCATTGGCAACAAAAACAGATGACGTCATTACATTTTGTGACAGCAAAAGAGTTGCGCAAATTCTAGTCAATTGCCATGACGTCATTCAATACGTGGTGTGGCCACCATTAGCATTGATCACTGCAACATATCTCCTGTACATGGAGTGGATCAGACGATTCGTAGAGGCCCTGGGGATCCTCCTGCACACATCCAGAACAGCTGTACGAAGTTCATCAGCAGTTGTAGGCACTGGTCGCACTTCATTCAGGCGCCTTATCCCACAAGTGCTAGATGGGGTTCAGGTCAGGGCTGCGAGTTCGCCACGGTAGGACATTGATGTTGTGTTGTTGAAGAAAGTCCATGGTAACTCTTGCAACATGTGGACGAGCTTCATCCTGCTGGAAAAGGTGGTTACGATGTTGGGCGAAAAATGGAACAACATGGGGTCTGATGACTTGGTCAATGTAACGCTGAGCTGTGACCCCATGTCCTCGACATTGTCCCACATTCTGGAAGCACATTGGTCCACGTCTCGCATTAAGTCCAATTCCGGCCCAAATCATGACACTAGGTCCACCCCATGCATCCCTTTCCAAAACATTTCTGTCAGCAAAACGATCTCCTTGACGTCGCCAAACTCTGACCCTTCCATCTGCATGTGACACACAAAACCGACTCTCATCAGAGAATATGACACGTCTGCACGTTGACGCCAGTTTTGATGACCCTGTGCCCACTGAAGTTGTGCTTGTCGATGCCGTGGTTGGAGGACAGGACGACGTGCTGGTCGGCGACATCGAAAGTTGTTGGAACGCAGACGTCGGATGACAGTGTCACGGCTGATGCGTCGATTATGCGTTCCTATGGTGTCTCGAGCAGTCTGGCTTGCTGTCAGGAAAGGATCTCTAGAGGGCTGAACTTCTGTCTGGGATCCAGACGTAAACTGGGTGACTCGGGAAGTAGGTGGAGTAAGTACAGTGATTGATGTAACAGGTTTTTCTGACTTGACCCATGTCAAATCAGTCTGGCATGCAGTAGAGGACATTGCTACAGAGCATGTTACTGCAGCTGAATATGTGATATTCTGAGGAGTTGAAGGCTGATTATTGATCAGTTTTTTCGCATCGAGGTATGGAATATTCTTTTAACATTTTATCTTCATAATTTGTGATTCCCATTGATACACGGGGCAAGACCTGGATGAAGCAGAGTGTGGGCCATGGTAGTTAGGACATTTGAAATCATTCTGACAATCTGCACCATCATGTTTGTCCCCACAACGGTGACAAACTGCAGAATTACGGCATGAGTAGGTCCCATGACCAAAATGCTGACACTTGTAACACCGGAGTGGATTGGGGATATTACACATCAACCCCGATGTTAAAGTAACCTGCCTTGATCGACTGGGGAAGGGATGATCTGGCAAAAGTCAAGAGATAAGTGTTAGTTTTTTATCATTTCCCCCTCTTTTTTTATTGTAAAACGCTTCACCGCCCTGTCTCGTATAATGCCACGGGAAGAATGTAGAGTCCTGCGCACGGACACAGCAACTTCCACATTGGCAAATGTTTTAACAGGCAAAAGATTAAGAGATTGCTGTTAATGGGCACTCCACCAGAAGTGAACCACTACGGAGACGGGTGACATTTTTAACCTCACCGCATATCCCAACGCTAGCTTTGGATATGGCAAATGGGTTCAGTTTTATTGGTAAAAAAATCCGAAGCTTTAGTTACTAGGCAACGAGCCCATGAATCAACGTTTGGCGATTGGTTTCAGTAGAGTGATCAAGTTCATCTAGTCTTCGCTTTGAGATAAAACAGCTTCTTGGGATGCCATCATGAAAGGAAAAGTATTCCGCACCCCTGCTAACAGTGTACAGAACTGGTATGAGAGAGAAAGTAACGAGTCACTTATCTTCAACTTAATATCCTGTACTTGTCCTGGCACCAAAAGAAGTCCCGTTCCTGTAACACAACACTCTCTTGTTTTAAGAGTACAAATGGTACTGACTGGCTCTCAGTCGGTACCAATTCATCGTTTGCAGATGGAGGTGACTTCTACCTGTCTGTCTTCTCTGCTGACCATTCGGGTATACTATCCGAATAGGAGTATTGTCCTTTTCACCTATCCAGAGTTTACTAGTGGAGGACATCAACAAATTGTTGATTCTTTCTGTGAAATGATCTTCATTCCGGGGTCTATTGCCTGCCACGTATATCCTACATGTACTTTCACTGTTTTCTTGTTACATTCCCCAAACAATAACATTCCAACTACATTACGGCTGTATAAAAATAACTGAGTCTGGAAAAGACAATGCAATGACTTAAATTTATGAAAGTTGATCTATGCAGCTGGGATGAGCTCGCATGAATCTACTAATTCAAATAGTCCGTAAGTCGGCTCTATATGAGAAACGTTTTTCGTCCGAAGACCAATGCTATCCTGGATCTTCATTGTTTCCTCTATAAAGTGATTCCATGCTTAGCCGAAATAGTTTCTGCAGAGTTGTCGAGATGGGTTATCATGTCCCTGTTCATGTAATGGCTTAATAGCGTCTTGATGTAGTTCAGAGTCTAGAAGTAGATAGCGTGTCCAGAACAAGAGGATTACAATACTCACTGGGAATGACAGAGGATTGTCACATTAGACCGATTCTTGATGGGAGATCGGCTTGTTAGTTACAGGGATTGCCAAACTTGTCAAACACTTAAACAGAGCGTATAACCCTGACATAAGGACATTGCTGTCATTAATACCCAGGGATTACCCATAGTTGAAAGGGAAGATATATGTCGTGCAAGTGGCGAAGATGTCTATCGTAGAAATGGTGAGTTAATATTTTATATTTGTGACCCAATATTTCACTCAATTGCATTGTACTAGTAATCTGTATTGTCATTCATTGTAGCTTGCTCATTGTTTGTTTAATATATAATTGAATATTTAGACCTGTCTGTGTTCTATTTTGCTGGCTCAAATGGGACTCTTAAACCTTTTTGTCAGGGCACATTATTAGACGTAACAATACCTGAACCCGTGATAAGATTAACATAACGTGGGCTAAGTTCAATTGATCCACAGTGCCAGTTAAATCTGAAAACACATGTGACAGAGTCTGAAGATGGGACAATTATGACCTACCTGACATTATTCAAATGATGTCATGAACAACAACCCTGGAGAGTGGAGAAAAACAAGATTGGAAGTCCATAGACAGATATACAAAAGAGTTAGAAATGAAGTGACCATGGTAATTCGGAAATCAAAATCAAATATTGCCAATCCAAAATTGCGAATTGTACTAACAATCCCGAGACCTTACACCAATTTGTTTTATCACTTATGGGAAAAGAAAAGAAAACTGTTTTGCCTCCTCGCACCTGTGATTGAAATCTTGCAAATGAATTTAACTCCTATTCTGTCTCTAAAATAGAGAAAATACGTGGTGACTTGGACAATACATGCTCTGGAGAAGACACAGCTTTTGATTCTGCTGCGTTTTGTGGAGATCCTATGAATCGCTTCACCTAGTTCTCTGAGGGCGAAATTCTTACAATGAAGACTGTTCGAGTAGGAGACGTTGAGATTACAGTTTCGGAATGTGTCAGGCATCTTGGTGTGGTTTTCGACAACAATCTATCAATGGATGATCACATATCTAAACTCTGTCACTCTTGCTATTTTCATCTAAGGAATATTGGTTCCGTTAGAGATCTTCGCTCTACTGATATGGCACATATGCTAGCAAGAACACTTTTATTGACAAGACTTGATTATGCAAATAGCTTGATGGGAAATCTAACCCAGGAACAGTTTGCGATACTCCAACGGTTCCAAAACACTGCAGCGTGGATCGTGACCCGAACGAGGAAGTGTGCACATATAACACCAGTGCTAACTTCCCTACACTGGCCAAGCTCGAGTCCAATACAAGATTCTCACCTTGACATATATATGTGTCAATCACACAGCTCCCGCCTATCTCACAGAATTGATTGAAAAATATGAACCTTCTCGGACACTACGATCTGCTGATCAGTTACTTCTTAAAGTACCCCAAACTAGCCTCAAAAAGTATGGACAGAGATAATTTGCTTACATGGCTCCAACTCTATTGAAAGATCTTCCCTTGGGAATAACGAAATCCTAATCATTGACAATCTTTAAAAGCTGCATAAAGAATCATCTCTTCCAAAAGTCCTATAAAGATTGATATACCTGTGAAAATATAGCACCTCTACTGCAGCAGACACCAAGTGCCCGGAGCTTTGGCGCATAACAAATCTACTGTATTATAAATATCATTGTTATGAGAAATGCAAACAGGCATAAATACACATTGTCACACAAACATATATGACCTTCCTTGTGAGCCTTACAACCGAGAGTAGGCGGTGCTGCGGATATGACACTGATTTCTCAGAGCTTGTCCAACATGTGCTAGAAGGCTGATGAAATATCGGTACATAGTTTGGATCGGAATTGTCTACAGTTGTATTGTGAAATACAAAAATGGCAAAATAAAAGAGAAATTATATGTATGGATCACTGGAGATTAATAATGAGAGCTGGTGTATGCAACAAAGCTAAACATGCCCTGCCCTACTGGTATTGACCACTCACACATGCTGTATGAAAATATTTAAAACCAGCGATAGATGAGAAAGCAGTGAACAATGCCTTTGCTTTGGGATCAGGACAACTCAACACTGCCCAGCTACTGCAGGTTTCCGACAACCTCCACTGACTACTAATCAAAATACACGAGCCAGCCAAGGGAGGCAACTCTGAAGCGCTATCAAAAAGGCGTGTCGCTACAAATACTATAGCTATTGAATATAAATGATGCGAACCAAAACCCACACTCAAAACTTTAAACATTGTGACCCATAATAACTATCGCTTAATCAATGTGATATTACAAATTACAAAAAACCCCACTCTCATAACAGTATATTTATTTTAAAATATGCCGTTGTAACATTATATTCTATACTATATTTATGCAACATATTCTTGGATCTGCATAATATGTTGAATATTTGTATAAAATGGTCACTTTCTGTGACGCCACTCAGCGAGGAAAACGTCTTTCGTCTGAACATATCTAACAATGATGCCATATATACTACTGGAATATAGTAACTGTGCATTGTATGACGTTATGCCATTTTCTAATGCAAAGGGATAATAACATAATTTGCGGTGTTTTCCTTAATCACTGTTTAACTGTTGACAATGTAATATCAAACTCTTGACGCTAAGCAAAAGCCAGTTCACAAATTTAGTATCATGAGTGTCAACCACTGGCCTTTATTCAGCCTTGACAACGACGACGCATAGACGACACTAAGCGATTGAAGAAAGCTTGGGGAATGTTAAACCAACGTTTGTCATAATTTAGAAAACGTCCATTTCACAACGCCGTCGGCATCTAACTGTCGACGTTGAACAATGCACGCGTCAGCATATCGTTCACTTGGCCATCTGTGAACCCTTGCCCTGCCATCTGAGCTGTCGTCAGTGTACAAACCACCATCCCAGTCTTGTCCCCTGTACTGTAGATACTGTCTACACCATACCAGGCAAGAAGGACTGTCAGTGACATTGGTTTGGTGGAACATTTGTTTTGCAGGCCGTCGGGGCCGGACGTTGTGCTTTCTTAGTCGGTTCCATATAGTCCTGAAACTGATTGGACGTAAACCGGGAATGGTCCGAGCAGTCAAATTGGCAGTCTGGAATCGATTCCATAGATGGGTCAACTGAATGTGGTTGTCTTGCTGACGTGATGTCACGTGTGGACTGCCGCTCCGAAGTAAATATCTCGTGTTCCCATTATGTTGAAAACGTCTCCATGGAGAACACATCGTGTTTCGATGGACACCAAAATGTCTGCCAACTTCATTTTGGGCCATTCCGGTCTCTAGCATACCCACAGCGCGAAGACGCTGATTTTCGGTAAACCGTTGCATGTGCAGTTTAGGCTGAAAGTAACGAGTATTTCACAACATTCAGAGGCTACCGTGTTTCAATTTTCAATATCTGATGTTCAGGTGTCTAAACACATGCAAAAAAGCGAGTAAATTCATTATACACAAAGCAAGTGATACGTGATATCAAATTTCACGCAAAGTGCCTTGCTGTTTGTTTATTTAGGATTATTTTTAGAAATGTTCAAATAGCTTTTATTATATGCAATTTTATGTAATGCACAGTTACATTTTTCCATCAGCATATATTTTAAAATAAAGCCTCGGGCCACAACCCGCGACATCACTATGACTCATCCCCACTATCTACACATTCCCATGAAACTTCTGATCTTTTTGGGGCGGTGGGGTAGCCTAGTGGTTAAAGCGTTCGCTCGTCACATGGAAGACCCAGGTTCGATTCCGGACATGGACACAATGTGTGAAGCCCATTTCTGATGTCCAACGACGTGAAATTGCTGCAATGTTGCTAAAAGTGGCGTAAAGCTAAACTCTCTCACTCGTTCACATACCTAATGTAATCATCACATTAAACTAAAAGACCAGGACCACATTACTGTGCCTTTCAAGAAAATACTTTTGCAAGGCATTTACCAAGATCTCACAGCCATGAAACATACGTCGGCAAATAGCAGTGAAACTACAGAAATACACCTGGCATATGCTGTGATCCGATATTTACGCTGATATCAACATTGGTAGTCGTTTTTGTGAAATTTTAATGTCACTGTGTAAACGAGATACTGTCAGGGCCATATTGTGTATGAAAGCGTTCACACGTTTCTCTTATAAATTTATGAATATTCTCGAAAACTGTCAAATAGATAGATAGGAAATTTCTTACGACAACCTAAAGAACGCATTATCTTCTGCAACTTACATATTTATAAACACCAGTAAATATAATCTTATTTATGAAAAGTTAAAAGTATCAAAATAGATATTTCAAAAAGACAACACACAGTCAAAACTGAGTTTTTACAGATACTTTTACACATTTTTACCAGCATATTGTAACTGCATTCTGGCTTACCTCAATTTATTTCTAATCCTTGAACGAAGTCGGAAGTCATCATCAGGACAAACATAAATAATTTCAGCGCCCTCGGTCAGGTAGGGTCTGGAGGAGATGTTGACAAGGATTATAAGAAATTGCAAGAGCAGCTCCAGCATTTGCTGCCTACATTTCACAGCTTTAGATGTCCTTTTCCAGCTTTTTTGCCTACATTTCACAACTTTCGTGGTCCTTCTCCAACATTTGTGGCCTACATTTCACAACTGTCGATGCTATATTCCACCATTTGTCATAAACATGCAGTAGCTTGGCGGTGTTGAGGTGTCCTGATAGCAAAGCAAAGGCATTGTTCTTCTGAAGACTGTTCTCTCATTTATTGCTGGTTTTATATATTTCTCACACATGATATACAACATGTGTGGCTACTGCTACAGGTAGGGTGAGTGAGTTAAAATTTTACATCGCATCGGCAATATTACAGTCAAATAGCGATGAAAACAAGGTAATCATTTTAAAATATCTTTCGACAAAGGATAGTGAAACCAACTAGACTATCACAAACACACACACACACGCACACATACATACATATATATAATTAGTGAGTGAGTGAGTTAATATTTAACGTCACATTGGCAATATCTCAGCCTTATCGTGACGAAAACAATTTATACAATATAAATGAAAACATTTTAAAGAGTAAAATCTGTCGATGATGGACAGTAAAAATCCTAGAGTATCACAGATATGAATATTAAACTAGAATATAAATCTAAAACATTTTAATTGAAGAAGACAGTACAATATAAAACACGGGCTATAGATCGCCAACAACTGAAGGTAGATCACCATACTAGGGACCATGAGGACTTACTGTACCTTTGCTACCTGCATGGACCCTAGTTGGATTTATACCACCCCGCTGACGATTGTAGGACAAGTCTAACCCAATGTAAAAAGAACAAAATACTACGTTTAAAAATCCGGTAAGCTTAAATTTAACTTTGAAAGTTTTGGGACTTACGTACCCTCTCAGGACGACAATCATTTTACGATACGTTAACCCCCTTTGAGGGTACAGGCACTAACCATCGCAGTTGCTAATTTATACTACCATTTATAAAATCCCATTTATCTATTTACAAAACACATTGTTCAAAACCAATCTAAAATTTTTATTTCTTTTATAAAAACAATTACTAAATGATGATTTACATTATAGAAAAGATCCTTAATTGTTTTGACATTGAAATATTTATCTCTTGTGATGGCAAAATAAATACAGTCAAGCTGGACATGCTTGACCGTGATTCTCTCATCACAAGGGATACAAAACGGAGGATCTTCACCTTTCAATTAATATTCGTGAGTATATCTAGTATGGCCAGTGCGACATCGCCGCATAATGACCTCTTCAAATCTGGACTGAAAACCAAAGTAGGTGTAACCGGTATAGGGTTTTATTGCATTTAATTTTACAATTAAACGAGACTTACCTGTAAGTTGAAGTTTGGTTGGGATTCTGCTACGTCACAGGAGTGCTGGAGGTTAACATGAGATTGTGCAGTGCGATCGAGCATCAGTATTTAAAGTAGATTGTTGACACCAGTAAGTTAGAAACTAACCCACTGGGTTATCAAACAGGGTGGGAGTGAGGAGGGCATGTTAACCTCCAGCAATCCTGTGACGTAGCAGAATCCCAACCAAACTTCAACTTACAGGTAAGTCTCGTTTAATTGTAAAATTCTGCTACGTCACGGTGCTTCCGGTTCCCATGAGATTTGAAAGGTACCTGGTGGCATAAAAACGTCACAGACAACAAGCCCTTCATTAACAATGATATTGATTTAATTGGCATTGGTTACTCATTTCCAACTACAAATACAATGATTATAAATGACAAGCAATGTAGGACAGCAAACCAACACGTGTTTCAACCCGTCTGGTACAAGTTGTAGTCTTCCTGACATAAGGAGCACTAACTAATCTCATCAGAATCTAACCCGGTGGGTGTGTCTTGATTAACCATAACGATTGTCTCATACATATTGCTAGCACCAGAGGCAACTGGGAGCCGGTAATGTTTGGCAAAAGTCTTGGCCGATGCCCTGCCTGCTGTCCTGAGAATGTCCGTGAGCGGAACATGTGCCACACTGGCTGCCGAAGAGGCTGCTGCTCTTGTACTGTGGGCACAGAAGACAGAGGGATCAATCCCTGCCGCCGCCAGGACTTGCTGTACCCACCTTGCAATGGTGGATGTACTGACCTTCTTATGGGGTTTTTGGAAACTAACAAGCACTTGCGTTTCCTCTCCCCTCAAGTCCACCGTGAAGTCTAAATACAATCTAAGAGTCCGATAAACACAGAGATTGTTATCAATCTCAAATTTATCTATGTCTACAAATTGAGCTTGCCCACCAGGTGTTCTCTGCTTAAGTCTGTTTAACACAAACACAATTTTAGTATCCGTCGTTCTCATGTTTAGAATGTCCAGGGTCTGCAGAGATTGTAGTCTATTGGCTGTGGCCAACTTGAGAGTAAGGTCTTTCAAACCCAGTTCACAGTTAGCGCCTAATTTGTCAATATATGTAAACACTGTGTTCACATCCCACACATTCTTGTACGGTGATCTTGTAGGCCGCTGTTGGAAAACACCTTTCAAGAATCTACACACTAAAGGATCCGAACCTAGACTAATTCCACAACTAAGAGAAACTAAAGCAGATACTGCTGACCTAGCTGTGTTTAAGCTACTGTAGCTAAGTCCCTGTTCATACAGCATGTGTAAGAATCCAAGTAAGTCTGTTACAGTTCCCTGAAGGGGATCAATCTTCCTTTCACTACAGAATGTTTCCCACTTGTGGATGTGGACTCGGTACTGTCGCTAAGTTGAGTCACGCCATGATTGTGTGATGACCTTCCCAATGCTTTCGGAATGCCTCGGACTGCGAGGGCTTCCCGATAAGCTGGCATGCCATTAGTCGCAGCTTTTTCCTCAGCGGGTGCAATACGTTGTTGTGCGGCAACCTTAGAAGACCCATCCTGCGAGGCAGGATACGAGGGTGGTCCACTAGCATCCGCAGCGCTGTGTCGTACCAAGGCTGTGTTGACCAGTTTGGCAGGATCATGATTGCTTCCCCCTCCTCCTTCCTCAGCTTCTGGAGGCACTGGGTTATCACACTGAATGGAGGAAACATATATACATATAGGTTTTTCCATGTTATAGAAAATGCATCTACAGCTTTAGCAGATGGGTCTGGTTTCCAGGATACATATGGTACTAATTGTTTATTCAGTCTGGACGCAAACAGATCGATTTCGGGGGAACCCCACAACTCTACAACAGTCTCAAACACACTAGAGAGTAACTGCCACTCAGTTCTATCATCAAAGATGCGTGATTCTTTGTCGGCTAGAATGTTACAAGTGCCAGGTATGTGGCAAGCACTAACCCAAATGCTCCTATCTATACACCACTGCCGAAGTTTCTGTACAGTTCTGTTACAGTGATGAGATTTGCTGCCACCCATTGACTTTATATATGCAATAGCTGTTGAATTGTTTAATTGCAATTTTACATGACAATAGCTTTTGTCCTTACACAATGATGTGGCATTGACTTTCCTCCCTTGTCCAGCGCCCATTCGCTGTCCGATTATCCAGATGGGCCCCCAAACCAGCTAGCGATGCATCAGAGAACAATGTACACTGAGGAGCAGGAGTAGACACTGGCTTAGCCGCACCCTCGACATTGTGTACCCACCAATCTAAGTTGCCACTCATGAATGGAGTATTGATCATGGTTGCATCAAAATTGCCACCTACTCTCTTCAGAGCTTCAGTTTTTGCATGTTCAAGTTCTCCATAGTGGAGCTGTCCATATTGGACACCGGGAACACTGCTTACTAGCAACCCAATCACATGAGCTACTTCCTGAATTGTAGCATATTGCTTAGCTGACAACCCACGGCATTCCAGCTTTACTCTTTGTGCTTTCTCTGGAGACAGTTTTACCGTCATGCACACTGAATTGAGCATAATTCCAAGGAGTTCTATCTCTTGAGTTGGTCCAAGTTTTGATTTCTCTGCATGTATGATTAACCCCAAGTCTTGGAGTTATGTCACTGTTTCCCTAACATTGTCTGCACATTCTACTTTAGTACCTCCCTGGAGATAGGAATCATCAAGGTTTAGGACCACTGTGCAGCCTTGTCGTCTGAGTGTAGCAAAGGCAGGTTTAAGCAGTTTCTTGAATCTACGGGGAGCACAAGCCAGTCCATTGGGTAGACAAGTATATTCATATAGTATCCCCTGCCACTCAAACCGAAGGAATTTCCTATTCTCTACCGCAATAGGGACTGAGTATTAAGTGTAACGGGAATTGCTCTGACTCAACAACACAACTCCGTTGAGTCTATAGTCCGGATTTATTACGGTATTTTGTATAAAGAATTCAAGTCTGAAACAATGTATATGAATATATAACACTCCATCAAAATACATATTTTATCACATTCATTTCATTGCACATTGTTCAGATAATTAACAATCACAGCTCTTCCACTGAACATATAAAAAGAATTAGATGCTTGATTGGCATTTTAGAAGATGATATTTGATGAACATAGAGTTTACCTGATGATGGGGCCAGAACAAGCCCTGAAACGTTGTACTCGAGAAAAAGAAGATGTAACCCAGAAAATATCTCTATGTTCATATAAAAAGAGCTCAAAACAAATTGACATCACAAAATCAATGGTTCAGTTTCATATTAAGATCCTTAGGAATTATGGAACACATTTGACATCTTCAAAACAATGAAACATCAACGTGTCTTACCATCTATGGGATAACTTGTTTCAAACTGGCCACATGTTGTGAGGCACCAACAAAACACCAAGAACCTAAAATATGTATGTTTTAATGAACATGGGAATGCTAATTCTCACCAGTAAAGTAAACGTACAATCTGTTTGGACTCAAACATTAATCTAAATTTAATTGGAAGTGAAATTATTGACACCAATAATTTCTAACCATAGGTCAAAATATACCTCCACCAAATGCATAAATTCAGTTACAATAAATACTGAATGAACCTTTCAACAATTAAACATATTTTTGTAGTTTATTCCTTTTATATAAAACCAAGTGTAACTAACCTGTAATTCACCAAAGTCAAAATCCTCCATCCATGACTTTCAAACCACCATGCCAGGTTGGGAGAAAGACAGCAAGTGAACACACTTCACACTTTCCAAATGCAACTACATTCAACATCCAATCAAGATACTGCACAATCTTCAACCAATAAAAACCAAGGACAAGACAGCATACCTGACCTCATTAAGACTTGGCTAATTTGCATAGGAACTACGTTTGACCCATGACTCAGTGGTGACTATAAATAAATCATGGACTTGTGAAAATGTAAACCTTTTCACTGACAATTGTATTATTGTTTAAGGTGGTATTAATTGATTCCAAACAGGAACATAAGACAAGACATATTAAAATAGATTGCTTTTCCAGAATATTTTACTATTTGTATATTTTGTACTTATTACATACTTGTATTTGTTACACACTTGTTCTGTACTTGTTACATAAGCATCCCTCAGGTCAATACTTGCCATAAAGCACCCCTGGGACATTAATTTTACAGCAGATTGTAAAGTTTCCATTTTGAAGTGCTCATACTGAACATTACAGTTAAATTTCTTCAGATTAAGAATAATCCTAAAAGATCGATCTTTTTTCTTCCTGAGAAAGATAGGGGACATACATTCACCTTCACAATGCATTGTAGGCTTTATTACCCCTTTCTATAGCAATTTGGAGACATCAATTATGTGCTTATCTGTTGCATTTACTCTGACAGTCCTAGGAGTAGGTATATGCACATAGCTATTTATTACCAAGTCAATATGACAGCCAGACACAGTGTCAAGAATAGTCTCATCAGATGTCAAGGCTCCCCACTGGGATGCAAACTGACTAATGGGCCCTGCAGTAAAGAGCGCTGATGGAATCAATGTCACTCCCTGCACCTGAGGTTCATTTACCTGAGATTCTGGCTCTAGTGTCTGCTTGGTCGCCGTGTCTTGTTCGCATTGGAGGGGGTTGCGTGGGATTGTCCGCGACGGAAGCTCCCTCTGTGCTCTAAAAAAGCCGGGTAGGGACTATCTCTGTACCTCCTCCCTCGTCCTCTGATGGCATAACGAGCAAGCCCCCCTCCCTTCCTAGATGGGAAGGAGAAATCTCTGTTCGGTTTTGCTTTGCTCACTGCCCTGTTAGCCTTTTTTTCTTGCAGCTTGGCGGCATCTCCTCCAAAATGGTGGCTGTTAATGGGCACATTTGTAGAAAATAACGAGGTGTAGCTGCCATTTATGTCCGGTTTGATTTGCTCTCTTCTGCGGAGATTGAGTTCGAAGTAAGCAAAGCTGGCAACCTGCATTGCATCAATTAGTTCTGTTATGACTACACTTATGTCTCCAGCCACACTTGCTGACGCAATAGCTCTGACTGTTTTAATCGGCATGCCCTGGCATTTCTTGTCATTGGTCTGTGTCACCGGTCTCATGAGATTCCATATGAGTTCATCCACTCTTGTGGGAACTAGAGATTGCCAATTCTCTGGTCTACGAATGCCGTCCAGCTTCCTCTTGACAGTCTCTTCATCAGGCCGCTCCGTTTTGAAGATCAGGCCATTCACAATCTCAGCCATAGTTGTGTGAATACCCGGGACGGTCTTTTCCCTAACAGTCAGTTCACCCTGAATGTCCTTCAGGAAATTATCACAGTCTCCACTGTCTCTGGTAGGCACCTTGTCAGTGCAAAGCAAGGTTCCGCTGTTTCGCTTGTGGAAGGTTCTATGTTAGGTTCGTGGCCAGTGTGCTCGTCCTCGTATTCATAGTATTTGTAGGTCTCCTTTGTGTCAGCATCTGACACCTGAGCGTTGGCCTTGATTTCCGCAAAGCCTCGGGCAACTGAGGATTTAATATCCGCCACGGTATTAGCCAGCAATTGGCCCAATTCTAGTAAATCACTGCGAGAGGTGCTTGGGTTTTCTCCAGCTGGAGAATGTGTGGGCGCCGCCATCTTGGTCGCCATATTGGGAGC